AAGAGCGCAGAAAAGCTGAAAATCAGAAAAGTGAAGTAATAAGCCCTTTTTAAGTCTAATTCTTCTACAAAGCCTAAGTAAAGAGAGTACATAAATGAGTATATTTATGGACTTATCAGTTGGCTCAGAAATGGTTTACCGGTACAAGTGAAATGTGTGAAATTAAAGTGGAAGCAGTTGCCCCAAAACTTGAACCAGAGCATGGAAGCCTTGTCAAAGCTGAGGAATAGGCATTTGGTCAGCCTTCTTGGACATTGCACTGTCACTTATCAGGACCATCTAACTACAGCTAGCACTGTATTTATTGTTCTTGAGAACATCTCAAATGGCTCTTTGGTGGACCATCTCACTGGTAAAGCTCGAACTAAATGCAATTATCAGATCATCAAGCAAAGGGTTATTTAAAATACTCAAAGCAATTATAATACACTTTAGTTTGGCAGATTGGAGAAAGAAGAAGTGGCTGAAATGGCCACAGAGAATGGCTGTTACCATATATATGTATGTTTCTTTAAAAGAATTAAAGGAATCTTTGTTTTTGAGTTCAGATTTGCTTCTGTTGGTATGGGTTATAGGTTTGGATTTAGGTATTGATTATAGATAATTGGAGTAGTTCAGTTAAACCCATTCTCTTACTTTGGCTCTGCTTTTTATCCCTATTGTTATTTTCAGGAATACTTTGTTTATGGTTATCTTTTCTCAGAGCAGCTCACACAAGACGCACTGTGCATGGACAAAAACAACATGACTGCTGAAGTAAGATTTGTGTTTGTGGAGTTTGATGTTAATTTTGCAAGTCTTGTAGAAGGGCTTGTTGTTGCTGATATTGTTATAGGGGAGGGGAATACAACAACTTAGAAAATGTGCAAGAAGGCAGAGCTATGTCAACCCAAGAACAAATTGATAAAGTTCAGATTAAATTAGTAGAATTTGTGAGCTCCTTTATTTTAATTTATTGGTAGGAAGTATGTGTGTAATAGAATAAAGATTGGTTGACTATGTAATAACTTTTGAATCTTCAAGTTTTATGAAAGAAATAATTTTTGAGTGCATATATTTGTTAATAAAGCATTATAATTGGTTTTCTAGTTACAATCATTGTATAGAATCATAGGAAACAAAAAACTAAAATGTAAAAGGTTGAGAACTTATTAGATGCCATATTTAAAGATAATAAAACGATGGTTTTATTGGAAAAACTGTCGTCTGTGCATATAATTAATGACCGTTTTCAACACAATACCGTCGTCTTTATATACAATTAACGATGGTTTGTAACAAAATATTGACGTATTTACCCATAAATTACGACGGTTTTAAACAAAAACCGTCATCTTTACCCATAAATAACGACGGTTTTAAACAAAAACCGTCGTTTTTACCCATAAATAAATACTTTTTGTTAAAAACCGTCGTCTTTACCCATAAATAACGACGGTTTTTAACAAAAAAAGGGTTGCCTTTAGTAAGAACGACGGTTTTAGTAAAAACCGACGGTGAAAAGCCGTCGTAGTTTGATACTCCAAAAGATGACAGTCGATTTAACGATGGTTTTCAAAGCATCACAACGATGGTGAATCCCCGTCGTCTATTTCGTTTTTTGTAGTAGTGCCTTTTCCAGCAATCCCTATTACCTAAGGGTGGGCATTGGAACCGCAAAACTGCAAAACCGAACCAAACCAATCCGAAAAAAATTGTGTTGACCGAAAAAGTCAGAAACCGAGTCCAATCCAAACCGGACCGGTTCAGACCAGTTCCGATTCCGATTTCGATTTCTCATCCTAAAGAACCAGTCCAATCCGAACCGGTCCAATAAAATTAACATATATATATATATATTTTATTATATATATTTATATTTGAAATTATATATTTTCATATGTGGCTAAGGTTGATTGGGTGTGTATGCTGCTACCATAGGTGAGCACACACAGAATCACACGGAAAAAAAAGACGCTGACTAAGTGACTTAGGGTTTTTTCATTTTGGTCTTTGTTTTCCTCTCTTCCATTTTCATTTCTTCTTCATTCCTTCATACACAGCTACAGCGCCGCCCCCTAAACCCTTCCAAACCTCTAAGCTCTCTCCTTCTCAGCCACCGAAACCAGAGGCTCTGTGTGCGCCATTGCCAAACCGCTCTCAGCCATCATCTCTCTGAGCCAAACCTACCTTTCTCTCATCCTTCCTTCCTCTCTCTCATCCTCTCTGACAGAAGCTCTGTTTGCGCCAATCCTCTCTGCGCAAAATCCCTCTCAGGCAATCCTCTCTGTCATCCAGCGCCCTCTCAGCCTCCGCTTCTCTCAGAGCCGCCACCTCTCTCAGTCGCCGCCATCTCTCTCAGTCGCTGCCATCACAAGTCAGATTGTGTTTTCTTTTTTACTTTTTTTTTTCTTTTCCCCTTTGAATCTGAAATTGTTAATTTTTCTGAAATTGTTAATATTTTATTGGTTATACATGGTCATCACGGCACACTTCATAGATGGTGATTGGAACTTGCACAAAAGAGTATTGAACTTTTGTGTCATTTCCGATCACAAGGGGAACTCAATTGGTAAACTCCTCGAGTCATGTTTGCTTGATTGGGATATGAAGAAGATACTAACCATCTCGGCCGATAATGCTTCTTCAAACACAAAGGCCATAGATTACTTGAAGTCGAAAATGAGTCATTGGGGAAATGGAAATCTTTCTCTTTCTCATTTGATTTCCCAGAAATTCGTATACTTTTAATTTATGATTTTCTGTGAAAATTGTTTTTAATTATAAATTTGTGTGGGAAAGGAAATTGCTATGAGGATACCAAGCTCCCTCTTCTGAGTTAAAGTTGAGGAAAATTGCTGGCAGAATCGAACCTAATTATTATATCAAGCTCCCACTTGAAACTTTTTGTCTGATGTTTGTAATTGCTGTTTTTCTCTCTGTTTTTGAATTCCATTTAGTTATGAATCATATATTGGGATGAAGCAATCATATTATATATATGTCCAACACTTGTTCATCTTTTGTTATTTGTTCTTGTATTCATTTCATATAGCCCTTTTTTATTTTATAATAATTCATCGTAACTAATATGTTTTTTTTTATTTGTTCATCTTTTGTTATTTGTTCTTGTATTCATTTCATATAGCCCTATTTTATTTTATAATAATTCATTGTAACTAATCTTTTTTTTTTTTTTAATTGAGGTGTTGTTAATTGTTAATATCATGTTTTAAGTTGCTGTTTTTTTTTTCTTAAAGAAATCATGAATAATAACTTTTGGAGAGGTGCATGTCACTACTAATAGTGAAGTCGAGTCGTCATCCGCATCCGTATCCACATCCACATCCACATCCGCATCCGCATCTGCATCAACACCTTCATGCCATGCCGCCACCACCACCACCACCACCATCCACTCAAAGTAGTAGTTATTGTTTTAGTGATACTACTACCATGCATACATGTAGTAGCCTAAGCCGAGGGGGAAAGAAACGAAGGGAAATGATTGAAAATTGGAGAAAAGAGACTCGAGCAAATGATGTTGTGATATTGGAGCATGAGATTGATAGGTACATCACCGACCCTATTGAAGATGCGGTTGATGAATTTGATGTTTTGAAGTGGTGGAAATTAAATGGGGTTAAGTATCCGGGGTTGGCACTTATTGCAAAGGATGTGCTTGCCATCCCGGTATCAACGGTGGCTTCAGAATCATGCTTTAGCACGAGTGGTCGGGTAGTTAATTCATTTCGTGCTTTTTTTACTCCTAAGATTGTGGAGGCCATAATTTGCTCTCAAAATTGGTTAAGGTCGGATGACATATCCTCTTTACAATATGAGCCAACAATTCAAGAGACGGAGTTCTATGAATCGATTGAATTAGGGATGTCTTTGTAATTTTATGTGCTTTATTAATGTATTATATAATATGTATGTTTGACTAATGTTTTAATGGGTTTATATTTTTTTTATGTAGATATTATGAGTTCATCCACACCTACCAAGTGTGCTCCAGCTACTTTTCAATGTTAAGAAGGAATTTAATGAAGTTGGATTGAATTTGAGTTGTAACATATATTTGGATTGACTTTGGGTTGTATTTGGCTTGTAATTTATTTTGGAATTTATTTTGCTGAAGTTTGATTGAATTTGGGTTGTAATTTATATGTTGTTGAAGTTAGATTGAAGTTGGATTGTATTTTTGTTGAAGTTGGATTCATTTTGATAAGTTGAAAGCTTGATGGAAGCTCAAATTTTGGGTCTTTTAGTATATAAATGCATTTTGGGCAGGTTTGGAAAAAATGTAAAAAATAAAATTTTGGGCCTAGTAAAAACCGGAACCGCAGGAACCGAATCGGAACCGGACAGGTCCGGGTTGGTTCGGATTTCTGTTTGGATTTTTGGCAGAACCGGTCCAAATCGAACCGGTCTGCAATTTTGGTTCAGGTTCTAATTTTTAGAGAAAATCGGTCCAAACCGGACCGTGCCCATGCCTACTATTACCCATTGGAAACAAGCCAATTCCGGCACTTCCTTTTATCCGTTAGAAATAGTCATTTTCCAATGCTTAGCTTTACTCGTTGGAAATAAGAATGTCCCAATGCTCCCTTTTACCCATAGGAAATAAACTAGCTCCAACACTTCCTTTTACCTATTGGAAACCAAAAAGAGTCTCCCCCTTCTATAAATTGGGAGGCATTGCCCAAGCAAAATCAACATCTCTTGGTTGCTGCAAGCCTCCCAGCAATCATGAGAACTCACCTTTCTTTGGCTGCTGCAAACATCCCAGCACCCATCAACCCCCTTCTCCAACTATCGGCCCTTCCTTTAGCTGCTGGAGCAGCACAACAACTTCTTGCTTTGGTTGCTGCAAGCATCCCAGCACCCATCAACTCCCTTCTTCAATCATCACACCTACTTCCTAGTTGTTGCAAGCACCCCAGCCATAACCTTCTCTCCTTGAAATCCATCATCTTCTCTATAAAGCCTCACCAAGCATAACTCCAAGTTTTTCCTTCCTTCCAAGCTATAAACACCATAGCCTTTAAATCTCAAGCTTTTCCTCCCATCCTCCTTTCGAAACTCTTAAATCCCCACAGCCATAGCCACAAACAACAAATTATCAACACCCAAACTCAAGCATATCCAACACCAAGCCAAGCACATGCATTCTCATTTGCTAAAATTGTGGATCTTTAGCTCCCACACTCCATGCTCTCATGCCAAGCTCATATAATCTCATATCTACATCAGCAAGTCATCTTCAACTCTTTGTCAAGCTGCCGGAAACATCAGCAAGTCATCTTCAACTCTTCTTCAAGTTGCCGGAAACATCAGTAAGTCATCTTCAACTCTTCGTCAAGCTGCCAGAAACATCAACACTAAACACGCAGCCGTTGGAAGAAAAACAGAGTACTCCCCTGTGACTTGCTTCTCCCTCGGGATGCTTTGGGCCTAGTCCTCACTAACTTAGAAAAAGGGGCAACGAAGGCTTGATCCACCACTCTATGGTGGTCCGAGAATTAACAAGCCCAGACGAGCCTTCCGACGGAAAAAGACCCCAACACCAATAAGATTGGAGAAGGTGGTTTTGGTTCTGTTTACAAGGTGTTTTTGGTTCTGCGGAACCAATATTTCTATTTATTTATTGCAGTTGGGCTAACTTGACTAATTGTAAGCATTGTTATTAAAGTTGCTCTGCTTTTTAGAGAAGTGATTTTGACTTTGTTTCTCAAATGCAGGGCCTTCTATCAGATGGCACCGTAATTGCTGTCAAGCAGCTTTCTTCCAAATCAAAGCAAGGGAATCGTGAATTTGTGAATGAGATAGGCATGATTTCTGCTCTGCAACACCCTCATCTTGTCAAGCTTCACGGATGCTGTATTGAAGGAAATCAACTATTGCTTGTCTATGAGTACATGGAAAATAATAGCCTTGCTCGTGCTTTGTTTGGTAAATATTACTCTTGTATGCCTAAACTTCATTTGGTTCATGCAGATGGGTATAAAAGATCTTATACATCAAAAATATGTCCCTTATAAATAACTTTGAGTAATTTGACAAATTGAAGGGCCAGAAGAAAGTCGGTTGAAGTTGGATTGGCCAACAAGGCACAAGATCTGTGTTGGTATAGCTAGAGGTTTGGCTTACCTCCACGAGGAATCAAGATTGAAGGTCGTTCATAGAGACATCAAGGCTACTAATGTGCTGCTTGATAAAAATCTTACCCCAAAGATATCTGACTTTGGATTGGCCAAGCTTGATGAAGAGGATAATACACACATTAGCACCCGTATTGCTGGAACTTAGTGAGTCCCTGCGCTTTTTTTTTTCTTCTTATACTTTTATTTTGATTTCTTCCACCCTGACGACGGGTCTATAGAAATAGGAAACATATGGAGGTTTCTCTACTTTTTATAAGTTTCAAACTTAACTAGATCTGTACTGTTAAAGAAACTTTGTAGTATTTTTAGTATTTCGCTAAGCTAAATATAGGGAAATGATGTGCCATTTTTTGCAGTGGATATATGGCGCCTGAATATGCAATGCGGGGTTATCTGACTGATAAAGCAGATGCTTATAGCTTTGGAATTCGTGTATTGGAAATTGCTAGTGGGAGGAACAACACCACTTGCAGAGGAAAGGAAAAAAGCTTTTATCTTCTTGATTTGGTAACATGATTCTACTGCTTCCTTATTTAAAGGTAAATTTAATCTGATACTGTTGATCTCTATTCTATGTTTGTGGCTGAGAGAAAGTGACTGATACTGCAATAGATTTAATGATGATACAAAATCAAATCTGGCTTGATTTGACATTATCTTTCTTTGACAATATATGTTTCTAGGCACAACTACTAAAAGGGCAAGGGAATTTGTTGGACCTAGTGGATCCAAGGTTGCGCTCAGACTTCAACAAAGAAGAGATGATGCTTACAATCAATGTGGCTCTCCTCTGCTGCAATGTCACTTCAACAGTTAGGCCTACCATGTCTTCAGTTGTGAGCATGCTTGAAGGCAGGGCTGCTGTTCAGGAATTGGTCTCAGATCCAAATGCCTCAAGTAATGAGATCGAAGCAATGAGGAAACATTTTCAATCCAGTTTCGGAAGGAACACCGGCGAGAGCCAGACACAAACTGCGTCAACTGAAGGGCCCTGGACCGGTTCGTCTACATCTGCTCATGATCTCTATCCAGTCAAGCCTGATTCAACTTACTGGGACAACAGAAAATAGAGAAACTGAGCAAACTTTCTTCACTCTCAAACATATATGTTCATATATCATTTCTACTCCCTCTCTAAATACACACATATATATTTTTTGTTCGGCAAGATAGCTGAAAGAATAATATAGATGTTTCTACAGCATGGTAATTTTAAATTATGAATCCCTTGGATCAACTTTGATACAGCACAGAAGCTGGTGTATTATATCTTTTGAAAGAGAATGGTGGAAAATCAGCATTCTGCTACAAAAGAATGTGGCTTTGAACTTGTCATGGAATATCAATATGAGTGTTGGAAGGCATGAACTAGCAGATTAGGCTTAGACAGCTAAAGGAGATATGATGAAGTCATCTTTGGTAGCCCTTCCAATGCTCCAACGACCCCAAGTGGACAATAGGCCTTTTTCTGTAACTTTTTGCGTCTCTTCAGAATTCGAAATTCTAAGTTGTACAGCCAATAGTAGGGCAATAATGGTAAAAGGGGCATTTGTGAACTAATTTAGAATTGAACCCTTTTGGTAAAGGCCTGAACTAATTTTTTTAGCCAAATCCAATTTCCAACCCATTGTGATCTTAATTTTTTTGTTTTGAAACGTCATTTGTGATCCCAATTAATGCTGATGGTGCAACCTATATGTGCATGCAGAATCATTTACATACGTAACCATAGTGACGGATCGGTGAACTTTTTTTGTGTGAGGGAAAACTTGCTAAAATATGAATATGGGTTTGAATATGATAGGTTCTTATTTTTATTCTTCTCCATAAGGAGGTATATATAAGAGTTTACATGAGTGCTTTACAAGGAATTAGATCCAGTAAAGGATTAGGAAAGTAATAAAATAGGAAAGTAAATCCCTTAATTAATCAAGGAAATAAATCTCCTTGATTAATTAGGAGACTCACTTCAACACTCCTCCTCAAGTTGGTGCATATACGTCACAAATGCCCAACTTGGTAAGTGAGTCATGAAATTCGTAGCACTCGAGTCGATAATCCATGCGGATTTTTGAGAGGACGTATGAAAAGTAAAACCTTTGGTGGTGTTGATAGAAGGACAAGTCTGGGTAGCCGGGTCAGCAGGATTGACCGCATGCTTCTGTGAGTTTGCAATAAGGGGAGAATCGTAGGGATTCCTGACATCACAGCAGAAGTAAGATGTGATATGAGAATGTGAGGGATTTTGATTGGAGGAATTTGATTTGAGGAATTTGATGTAGGAATTGGATTTGAGAGGTATGTGTATAAGATTTGATTTGAGGAATTTGATGTATGTGTATAAGATTTGAGGAATTTGATTTGAGGAATTTGGATTTGAATATGAGAAATTTGAGATAAGGCATTTGAGGACTTTAGATTTGAGGGATTTGGATTTGGGGAAAAATATGAGAGGAATTTGATTTAGGGTTTTGGATTTGAATATGAGAAATTTGAGATAAGGCATTTGAGGACTTTAGATTTGAGGGATTTGGATTTGGGGAAAAATATGAGAGGAATTTGATTTAGGGTTTTGGATTTGAATATGAGAAATTTGAGATAAGGCATTTGAGGACTTTAGATTTGAGGGATTTGGATTTGGGGAAAAATATGAGAGGAATTTGATTTAGGGTTTTGGATTTGAATATGAGAAATTTGAGATAAGGCATTTGAGGACTTTAGATTTGAGGGATTTGGATTTGGGAGAAATATGAGAAATTTGATATGAGGAGTTTAAAGAACACAGAAACCCTGTGAACACGGCTAAGGACACATAAACCCTGTGAACACAGCTTAAGATCATAGAAACTTCTCTTCAATCCTCTTCTCCCCCCTGAAGAGAAGGGAATGTTGGAGTCAAGAAAGAGGCAAAATCTCCATGAGAAAGAGAAACATATCCTTTTTCACTCCCCCTCCCCCCCTTGAAGAGGAGGGGAGGAGAAATTTTGATATGAGAATTTAGAGACAACCGAGGATCAATTGCTCTTATACCATGCTAAAATATGAATATGGGTTTGAATATGTTAGGTTCTTATATTTATTCTTCTCCATAAGGAGGTATATATAAGAGTTTACATTAGTGCTTTACAAGGAATTAGATCCAGTAAAGGATTAGGAAAGTATCTCCTAATTATACAATGATTTGACAACTATATAAAATAGGAAAGTAAATTCCTTAATTAATCAAGGAAATAAATCTCCTTAATTAATTAGGAGACTCACTTCAACAAAACTTACAATCAACTGCGAGATACTCCATCAAACACCTTATTTCTATGTTACGAAAAATATCTATGGATGGAATTTCTTGGCTAGATTAATACTCACCCTAACATGAATCCTTCGGTATCTAACCTTCTTAAAATCAAATTGTCTTAGGTCCTTGTTTTGGTGATTGTGAAGACCCGTATTTTAAAAGGATAAAAGAAGATATTTATCATTTGGATAAACTTGGATGATATTATAAGATATTTATCTTTTGGATAAACTTGGATGTTCTTATCCTTTTAATATTGAAATTTATCCTATCCCTATAACCATTATAAATAGGAGCATAACCTTATAGTTTCAAAACTTGAGAAATTAGAAAAGAAATTTAGAGAGAGAGAGAGAGAGAGAGAGAGAGAGAGAGAGAGAGAGAGAGAGAGGTGATTCTTGGAGGAGATTTGGGGCTTAGCTTGTATTTTCTTAACTTGGAGCAATGCTTTGGAATCGAGGTAGGGATTTATTGGGAGCCTTTACGGGGATTGATCTAATTAAATTTCGTGAGCACTATATTATGCATGATATTATTATTTGAAAGGCATAATTATATCATGTCATGGAAATTGGCTAGAATTCTTGGGTTGATAAAGAAAGTATGGAAAAGAGGGTAATGGGAAGGATATTTTGTGTAGTTGAGTCTAACTCTTGGCTGGTACCAGGTCTCAGGGATCGCACAGTGCACATGGTTTTTATTGGGTGATTCGGGACTGGCGACAGGGAGTTAGACAAGATGACTAACAAAAGGGGAATTATGGGACAGTTGAAATGGGTGTTAGTTCATATAAATGGGCATTTGGGAACAAGTGGTATAAGCATGGTATGGGACATGCAGGTCTGCTTGTCCAGTTATATGAATTAACGGGATTAGATGAAGAGCATTCATTCATGAATTATTATATTATTAATGTGATATTTGACTGTGTGATTACATGTCACTTAATTTAGTTATATCAATCTACTGTGGTAAGGTCTCATGTCCCTACTGAGCGGTGGTTGCTCATCCCTTACCCTGTTTAATTTTTAAGATGAATTAGTGAGCAAGACAAAGACTAAACCAGTTGAGGATGAATTAGATGAGAGTGATAGAGCTTTATTTATTTCATGTAAAGTTGTAAGATTTTTGGGAATTATTTTTATAAGAAAAGTTTATTTTATGTTTTGGATTTCTTTGTATTTCTCTTTATTTTATTTTATTTTACTTTTTCACGCACCGGGCGCGGAGTTTCCACCGACCCCCGGGTCCGGGGCGTGACAGAATGGTATCAGAGCCCAGGAATTAGATACCCTTGGGAACACTGTGGTTTAAACATTTGTGTTAGATAAACTTGAATTCATGTAGTGACAAAGATTTTTAGGAGTAGATTGTCTTGGGTAAGATGCTATATATTTCGAGGATGAAATTTCATTTAAGGAGGATAGATTGTGAAGACCCGTATTTTAGAAGGATAAAAGAAGATATTTATCATTTGGATAAACTTGGATGATATTATCTTTTTAAGATATTTATCTTTTGGATAAACTTAGATGTTCTTATCCTTTTAATATTGAAGTTTATCCTATCCTTATAACCATTATAAATAGGAGCATAACCTTTTAGTTTCAAAACTTGAGAAATTAGAAAAGAAATTTAGAGAGAGAGAGAGAGAGAGAGAGAGAGGTGATTCTTGGAGGAGATTTGGGGCTTAGCTTGTATTTTCTTAACTTGGAGCAATGCTTTGGAATCAAGGTAGGGATTTATTGGGAGCCTTTACGGGGATTGATCTAATTAAATTTCGTGAGCACTATATTATGCATGATATTATTATTTGAAAGGCATAATTATATCATGTCATGGAAATTGGATGGAATTCTTGGGTTGATAAAGAAAGTATGGAAAAGAAGGTAATGGGAAGGATCTTTTGTGTCGTTGAGTCTAACTCTTGGTATATACCAGGTCTCAGGGATCCCACAGTGCACATGGTTTTTATTGGGTGATTCGGGACTGGCGATAGGGAGTTAGACAAGATGACTAACAAAAGGGGAATTATGGGACGGTTGAAATGGGTGTTAGTTCATATAAATGGGCATTTGGGACCAAGTGGTATAAGCATGGTATGGGACGTGCAGGTCTGCTTGTCCAGTTATATGAATTAACGGGATTAGATGAAGAGCATTCATTCATGCATTATTATATTATTAATGTGATATTTGACTGTGTGATTGCATGTCACTTAATTTAGTTATATCAATCTACTGTGGTAAGGTCTCATGTCCCTACTGAGCGATGGTTGCTCATCCCTTACTCTGTTTAATTTTTCAGATGAATCAGTGAGCAAGACAAGAACTAAACCAGTTGAGGACGAATTAGATGAGAGTGATAGAGCTTTATTTATTTCATGCAAAGTTGTAAGATTTTTGGGAACTATTTTTATAAGAAAAGTTTATTTTATGTTTCGGATTCTTTTTATTTTATTTTACTCACGCACCAGGCGCGGGCTTTCCACCTACCCCCGAGTCCGAGGCGTGACAGTGATGAAGCTATTATTTATTCTCACCAAATTCATATGAACTCTTTTGTTGAGTTATTTACACTAACACCCCTAAGGTTTTCGGTGTTATCACAAAACCCCATGAGGAGGTTTCATATTGTTTTTTTTTTTGGTAAATACCACGAGATGTCTCCACACCCAAAGGGTGGGATTAATCTCCACTCAGAGTTCGGCTTGCTCCTGGCCACAAAGTGCTTCCAATGGGTTTTCATTGAGGCACTAGGTAGCTCGCCAACTGG